TGAGTTCTGAGGTTGAATGTTTTACTTCTCTGTTTGTTGTTTACTGAGGATGAAGGAAGTAACAGTAGGAGACCAGAAGGTGCTGCTGGTCCGCACCCGCGGTCAGTACAGTGCTGTTGGAAGTCAATGCTCCCATTACGGCGCTCCACTGATCAAAGGTAATCTTGGAAACATTTTCTTAGGCCGCACACTCCTACTATTTTTAAATGTTCATGCATGCGTCCTGCACATCTGTTTATCTCTTTGACCAACTGGGTTGACAGACACACAGACAGTGCTTCACAACGATACGATGTCAGATGTTTCAGATTTTCTTCAATCTCTAAGCTAAGCAGATGGTTTTAAGGTCTTTTAACTCTGTGCTCTCTGGTCATTTCAGGAACTTTAGTTGGTGACAGGGTCAGGTGTCCATTCCATGGCGCTTGCTTTAATGTCCAAACTGGAGACATTGAAGATTACCCAGGTCTGGACTGTTTGCCTCTCTACAAGGTAATAGACCAGATTAGATTAGATAGAACTTTATTAATCCCTTGGGAGTTCCCTTCAGCAGAACAGCACCAAGAACACAGGAATAGAGTCAACACAATACAAACAGTAGCAGCACACCATGAAGAATATGGAAAAAACTGACAGTGGATATTAGTGGGTATTAGTAAATAGTATCAGTGTATAAGTGGATACTAGCAGTAGAAGTTAATAGTAAGTTAGTAAATTAGTATTAGTAATGTTAGATGTAGTAGTAGTAGTGGGTTAATAGATGATTATTATTTTTGTGTGTGGTGTTTATTATTGCAATGCCCATTACTGAATTAAATAAGAATGAATACATCTCTAATAATACATCTCTGTGGTAACTCTGTGGTCATTTGTGCTGTTTTACAAGTCTCTTAATTAGAAAACAGCTCTGTGGGTTATCGTTGATGCTTATTGTGACCAAGGACTGCCATGAAAACCATCAGTACCAAAAACACAGATAAACAATACATTATTGTCTAAATGCAGCATGAGAAGTCCTGGGTTAGACATCAGTAACTGTTTTTACTGGGTGTATTTTTTGGTGTGCAATGTATGTGAGCCCGCTGAAATATTGGCTACATTCATGTTTATGCCATATTTCAGTATAGTTTTTTTCCACAGGGATTAGCAATTTGATGTAGGGACAAGGGGAGAGTTGACAGTAGACAGAACGTTTTGGTTTCTTTCTGTTTGATATGAACATTTTCTGTATAATACCTGATGCACAGAATTCCTTTTGTATTTATTTGTCAGGTGGACGTTCATGATGGTAAAGTGTATGTTTCGATCGACAAAAAAGTAAGCGAAAGAGACACTTTGATTTTTCACACCCCCCCCCCCACCCCCACACACACGCACAGTGAGTGTTGGCCCTTTTTACAAGGAAACTCCTTGTTTGTGTGTTTGTTCCAGTTGCTGAAGACAAACAAGCGAGTGAAGGACATGTGCACTGTGGCAGCTGACATCAAACACACTATTCTGCTCGTAGGAGGCGGTAAGGAAAAGAGTGTTTGGTAAAATAAAAACATCAGTCTGTAGTAGGGACATGATGTCTTAATGTGTTAAAATGATTCAAACTCTGGTCCAGGCCCGGCTGCACTGGTTTGTGCTGAGACCCTGAGACAGAACTGCTACCAAGGTCAAATCATCATGGTGACCAAAGACAGTCTCCCTCCGTACGACAAACCCAAACTGAGTAAGGTATGAACCTGACCGTGACCTGAAGCTCAGCTGTGTAGAGACAGGTTTGTCTGTTTCCTAAGTTTTTAATGAATTCCATTTTTTTCAAATGAAGGCTATGAACGTGGACCGTGACAAGCTCCTGCTGCGACCTATGGATTTTTATCAACAGTATGGAATAGAAGTGTACACACAGAAGGAGGTGAGAAGACCACACGCCACTAATAATATGTTATGTCTTCTCAGGTTTTGGATAAAGTCACATCCTGTAATGTGTCAATAATTACAGGTTGTGTTCGTTAACTCTGTGGAGAAGGTGGCGAAGTTGAGTAACGGTTATTCGCAGTATTTTGATCAGCTCCTCGTCGCAACTGGATGCAGGTTAGAAACCACTGTGCTCCAAAAGCAGTGTGTGTATATTTAGATAGATAGATATAAATATATATAGCTATATAATCCTGATTTATTTATATAAACTACAATGTCAACATACATTTATGTATATGAGTGTGGTAGGATTCATGTTCCATCTAGTCCACAATCATTGGTTGGGTTGCATTCAGAAGGACTAGGGATGTCTGATATTAACTTTTTGCCGATATCCAATATGCTGATATTGTCCAAACACTTCATTTCTGATTCCGATGTAATATTTATTGATCGGTACAAACCACTGTATGAGTATGAGATAAATTAAATAAGCTGCAATGCTGCCATCTAGTGACTTTAACTTTAACATACAGCCATTTATCCCCAAAAACATTTTTAGAGCACACATCATTTGGCAAAAATCATTTTGGCAAAAATTTAGTTATCGGTTTTTCCTCTGATAATAAAAAAACGATACCGATTATTACAGATATTACATAATATGCTTATATCAGACCAGTTGACATTATCGGTCGGTCGATATTATTGGACATCCCTAAAAAGGACATCTGTTCACAAATTATTATGCTGACATCTACCCCAGTGCCTTGTTACAGGTCACCAAGATAGGTGCCTGGAGTGTGGTAATTTGCCTTGTGATGATGTCATTTCCACTGACTCTGTTCACAGAGCCCGGCCACTCAGCTGCCCTGGTTCTGAGCTGCAGGGAGTAAAGTTACTCCAGAATTATAAGGATGCCACAGACATTCACAGCTGCAGTCTGGGCCACAGAGCTGTTGTTATCGGAGCCTCATTCATAGGTCATTATTTTTGCATGAGCTTCGTATGTGTTTACATTTGTGTCTTTTCTCAGGTTTACACCATGTTCAGAACAACAAAACAGTCCATTTACTGTCTCTTTATGACTATAAAAACATAACAGGCATGGAGGCTGCATCCTACCTCTCAGACAAAGCTGCTAGCGTGACCCTAGTTGGTGCTACATCATTCCCTTTTGAACGATCTCTGGGTCCTGAGATTGGCAAAATGACGATGCAGGTCACTTCCTTTTCTTGTCCATGGTTAAATCTAGAAATAAACACATTTTTGTAAATGAAATGGTTCAAAGCAAATTCCTTTTTCAGATGTTGGAGGAAAAAAACGTCAAGTTCTACATGAAGGACAGAGTTGTTGAAATCAAAGGGGAGAATGGAAAGGTATGTCCACCGTCTGTTGTTCTTTTTCAAGCACTTGAAGGTGTTTACACAACATGAGAATGAGAGTCAACCTGGCATAACATTAAAGCTTGAAATTAAATGTCATTTGTAAGGTGAAGGAGGTGGTGCTACAGAGTGGAACAGTCCTGGGAGCTGATGTGGTGATTGTCGGAATCGGTAACTACCTACCAAAACTGGTGTTGGTTAGCTTTGATCACAGTCCCTCTATAGGGTTTTGTGTTAGTTCATTTCCAAGTATTTGGTGAGGTACTGCGTCGATTAACACTGCAGAAGATAGGTTTATTTTAGTATTTCAAATTGTTAAACAATATAATCATGTTAAACGTTAATTATTAAGTCCGTGCAGAGAAAGAACTAATCATTTTTGTATGATTTAAAGAGGTTTTTTTTTCTGAAAAGAAAATCTTAAACAACTATTTTTTCTTAAAGGTGCAATCCCTAATACTGACTTCCTGGCAGGAAGCGAAGTGGAGTTGGATTCAAGGAAAACTGTCATAGTTGACAAGGTAACACAGAATTATTGTCACGTCTTTGTCTTCAGTGAAGCACAAGGCTTTGAATATGTCTGAACTGGTTGTTCATCAGTTTGGTAAAATATTATTATTTCTGTTAACAGTTCATGAAGACAAATGTGAGAGACATTTTTGGTGCCGGGGATGTCACATCTTTTCCTCTGGCCATTTGTGGAAGCCAGAGGATCAACATAGGTCACTGGCAGATGTCACATGCTCAAGGTAGGAGGAAAAGAAGCAGAGGTCACTGTGCAAAAGAATCGTACACTGTAAGATGGTGAAAGAAAACAAGACAAAAAAGCAAAGATCAGTCCAGAAATAACTCCTAAAACCTCAGTCAAACTATTAGATTGTTTTAAGATAAACTCCTATTTTAAAGAAAAGCTGTGAATGTGACTTCAGCAATTGACAAATTTGGGAACCGCTGCAGCAGCAAATGACGAGTTATTATGTAAATGAGTAATTCTTTGACAGCGTGTAGCACTGAAATTACACAGTAAGTCTGTATTACACTTTTTTTTGTTGAATGTTTGTTTTTATTTCTTTTATCTAAGGAAAAGTGGCAGCCCTGAATATGCTTAACAAACCAACCCAGATTGAGTCAGTGCCTTTCTTTTGGACTGTGCTGCTTGGGAAGAGTATCAGATACACAGGTATGGCCTTAATATGTTAAAAAAAAAAGTCTTTATAAATGAAAAAACATCCGCCTTGTATTTAAATTGTATTCCCATCAGGCTATGGTGAAGGATATGAGGAAATAATATTTAAAGGCAAAGTGGAAGAGAGGAAATTCCTGGCCTTTTACATCAGGTGTGTGAAACAACTACAACTCGTATTTTTGGAGAAAAACTGCATTCGTGATACATTTCCCTGGTTTCTGTGTCCTCAAACAGGGAGGGGCAGGTGGTGGCTGCAGCCAGTCTGATGTTTGATCCTGCTGTGGCTCGACTGGCAGATCTGATGGCATCTGGACAGACTATAACAAAGTCACAGGCTGAGTGAGTGACGTCATATCCTGTCTACCTGCAGCCTGGACCACTGACTGTCAACAGCTTTATTGTACTTTATAAATCTGTACTATTTTTGTACTTTTGTGGCTCAAGGTAAAATGGTCAAACTGTCTCATTTGGCGTTGAAGGCTGCAGATCTGTGTTCTAGCTACACTGTGCCTTGACTCAAATTGAAAACATATGTTCAAAATATCTTACAAGTCAACGACGCTTAAACAGAATTTTAATCTCTACCCTACAACCTTTATGATTTTATAAATGGTGGCCACTGCCTTCATGTTTTAGAAAAGGATTCCGTTGTTAACGGGGTCGATAGTACAGATGATATTAAATGTTAATATGTCACTAAGGGGCAACAGAAATGGAACACTGACATGGGGAGAACACATTGAAGTGACTATCACAGCCACATAGAGTTCTTATCAGGAGACTTTATGAATGCTAGTTAAATTTATCAGTGTAATGTTTTGGTGATTTTTGCCACCAGGAAATAAAAAAGATTAGATTGAAATGAATGCAATACCAGAACCTGAGACACATGTCCACTGTGTTTCTCTAGACACTCTGAAGTTAAACCTGGATGATACTACTTTTTGTTTGTTTTACAGTATGTCTTATACTGGTGTGAGAGCCCACGTCTATGGTTAATATCTGCCTTGTTTCAACAGATCAGATGACCTGAGCTGGCTGCAGATGTGAGCACGGTGTGATGACAGCTGCCAACCCCTCTGTTCCTTTTTGTTTATGATTTTTTAATCAACTCCAGCTTCCTCAAAGTCAGTCGTCTCTTCTTCTCTCCTGCCCAGAAACACGGTTTAAATAGCAGCAAGTGCTGTTTTATTGAATTTGCCCTTTGTGCAGGGAGCGAACGGTTAAATATATGTGCCATAAACACAGCACTTGATAAGACTGCAGTGACTCATCACAGTCTGGAGCAGAGTCACAGGAAGAAGGAAACTGAAAAATCAGCCACATAAAAAAGTCATTTATATATACTTATAAAACGTGTGAACACCTCTCTAGTTATTGGACTGTGCTGTTCACTATTCCCCCATTTATAAAAATCCACTTCACTAACTGTCAAAATATATAATGTTTACTAAAGATTTGCCATTTCCAGTCTTTTGGTTTCTTTATTCAAGTTGAAGAAGTGCAGACACATCCATCCATTTAACTGGAGTGCACTGCCATCAGGGGTTCTGCAGATTCTTAGAGCTAAAGTGTTATCAGTGTGTTTGTCATGCATGTCAGTTTGTTAATGAGTTTCTTCATTTAATAACAATTGTTAATAAACATTTAAAACTTTGGAGACAGAATCACTGGTATCACTAAAGACAAATGGACGTGAACTGTTTTTTTTAAAGAATTACTCATCTTTTTGTGTTCCATGTAGCTTAGCTTTCCCCTGTTGTACAGAATCTAGGTACAGAGGATGAACCAATAACAAGGGCCAATGTTGTGTGCTTTCATACCTGTGATTTGATTATGTAAACTCTTGTTTACACTGCAGTGTTTGTGACGTAGAATCTAGACTTTTTACTCATTACAATACATTTAGCAGACGATTGTGCATTTAGTGACAAGTGTGATTTTAATAACGAACCTACAAGACCCTTTTCATTTGGAGAAAACGTATAACCTAAGCCACCTAGTGGCAAGCATTTCACAGTACACCTGTGCTTGTCGTGTACAGCGGACATTGAGCAGTGTGCGCTCAGAATGTGGCTGCAGACTTGAGTCATGGCAGGTAAGTGATGAGAATCTTAGTTTTATATTTATATGAATACTTTACTTTTTATTTTATTACACAAAACATTATGCAACATCAGACAAACTTCACCAGATACCAAACGGTGTAGTTTCTTTTCTCCTCGTCGTTATTCTCCAGCAGTAGTATCGGCATTTTTAATGCGGAAGTGATAAAAGTCACATTCGTATTGACTGAAATCATCAAGTTTAACTTCTAATTGTGGTCACTCTATTATTCTGTTCGATGAAATACGTCTTTGATCGACAATTTAAGCTGATTGCAAACCTATGATTCAATCTTACTTTCATTTTCTTTTTCTAACCGAGTTCAGTGAACGAGTAAAAGTTGAGTCTTATTTTTAAGTTTCACTTGTTGGGTCGTTGAAAAAAAAAAAGATACCAGTTGAAGGAGAAGTGAAAATTTGCGTTTCCTCAAATTTGTTCATGTTCTGATCAGCCACATATTAATTAGATTTATGTGTATTTATTAGGGCTGTCAAAGGAATAAACATTTAATCTGACTTATCACAGGACAGCTTTGAATTAATCACTTTAAATCATAATTATTCATAATCAGAAATAATCATGATTAATCATGATTTAATCAACATATCTGTGATTAAACATTTCTTCTGTATTTTGCTGGACCAGAAGGACAAATAACAGCAGTTAGATGTGTGTGTTTCCTACCTGTTATTATTCATGACTAATCCAAATGATGAAATTAATAATATGGAAAAAAGTCAAGAAAACTATATTCATAATAATCTAATATTACAGTCATTACTGTGTGTCATGGCTTGTACTATGGTATTTTATAACTCCATAGATGAACTGAAGAGGGTGAGGCCCAACTTTGTAAGCAGGGCCTCCAAAGAGCTCCTCAGTCAGCTCCTGGATGACATTTTATTGGACGGTATTCTGAATGATGATGAAAAAGACTCCATAATCGAGGACAACAACAAAAGAACAGACCGTGCACGCGACCTCATTGACATAGTGAAGAGGAAAGGAGATGAGGCATGCTGGAAGTTCATCGCTCACCTTCAGAAAAGAGATCCGACCCTTCACAATGAACTGGAACTGTCGGCTCCTCCACCTCCTCCTCCATCTCCACAAGGTATGTTCTCTCTGTTTTCAAACAATACACAGTGATAAAAGAACATATGTTAAAGCAGCAATGTGGTGTTGTTTCTAGCTGCAGGTCAAAGGTCGGACCAGAGCCCACCAGGCAGACCCATCAAAACCACTGAGGCTTTCTGGAGAAATAAACAGAGTGATAAGGATGTGAGTGTTAAAACGATGTATGTATGGTGTACGAATATTTATGCGGATAATCAATACAAATTTAAAATCAGTATTTGACTATTTACTTCTAAAGCTGTAATGCTAGTGCGACAGGGATTAATGTATAATGCTAGCTAATGCTATTGTTCCTGAGCTCAGCCTCAAGTTCAGCCATGTTTACTGACACTCAAGTAATAGGACACCTGGTTACACAGTTATGTTCCATTAGCTGATTGGTTAAAAATATCCACATGATGAGTTGAAGCATGTTGTGCCTCTATGACATCTCAACAACCTGACTGTTTCAAATGCCTGGTTATTAACAGTGGTGGTCAGGTGATTAAGGAAGCAAACCTGTGTCCTTTCCTTCAAACTTATTTCTTAGGTGTACACAGTGACCAAGGATAGTGTGAAAAACCGCGTGGCCCTCCTTATAACCAACATACACTTCAGGGATAAAGAAAAGAACAGAAATGGAGCCGGGAAGGATGAAGAACACATGGAGAAACTGCTCTCTGACCTGGGTTACGAGGTGGTCAAATACAGAGACCTCACAGCACAGGTACTTATAAAGGCACAAGTCAAACAATAATTGCACTCACATTGAAGTTTGGACTCCGGGACAAGAAGTCTGACAGTGGTTTTCCCCTTCTTCACAGGCCATAGATCAAGCACTGATCAGATTCTCCTCACATCCAAAGCTCCAAGTCACCGACAGCGTGGTGGTGGTGATCATGTCTCATGGAAAGCAAGGAAGCATTTGTGGTATAGAATTCAATCCCAACAATGAAGATCCAGACTTGTTCCCCATCGACAACATTTACA